TACATAGGATTGGATACTTTGGCCCTGGATCAGGCAGTATTGTAATGGCTGATGTACAATGTAATGGGACTGAAGATCTATTAGTTAATTGTCTCCATTATACTACTCATCAATGTAGTTACAGTCAAGATGCTGGAGTCACTTGTATATCTTCAAGTTGTGAGTAACACAATAATTTGTAAATGATGTCATTCTTTTGTAATTTTGGAGGGGATTAAATTTGGCAAATTTGGCATTTTGATAGCCATTTGCCAAAATAAAAATCCGCCATTTTAAGCTATTATACGCATGCTCAATGGCACGTGGCCACAAATTCGCCAAATTAAAAATCCGCCAATCACCAAAATGTAGTAATTCACCAAAATTTAGCAATTTGCCAAAATTTAGCCCCTCCAAATTTACCCGCTATACGGTATTATTATTATGTAACTAAAATAATAATACAATTATTTTCAATAGTGGCTCATACAAGTTCAAAAAGCTTTTGACTACAGCTACAGCTAATGATGACTATGATGATGGAGACGATGATGATCACGACTCTTATGATGAATAAGGAAAAGGTTTTTATAACACAACTTCTTTACTTTATTATAAATTTGCATACTAATTTTGCCATTTTATATCCACACATTTCTTTATTATTTTGCTGCTGGTCCAAAAATATTTTAGATAATTACTGTTAATAAGTTGATGTTGATAGTTTGTTTATAAGTTAATAGCTCTCTAGTCTATAATATGATCATTAACAACAATGAATTAAAGGCAATTGACCATTTATGAGTGTCAGTATGATTATCGACTATGAAAGTGTGCAGATACTTACATTGGACATTGAAATAGGCTGCTAAGCACTGTTTGTAGTACCAGTGCACAAAATAACTGTTTTTAATAATTTTGGTAATAGATAATGCTTTTCCTGTACTATGTAGTATAACTTTTCTTGTGATGTGTTTCCCAGTAACAACACTACTCATAACAAAAAAAATATCATGACATCTACAAATGCAAGTTGTACTACAAATGATGTATCATGTTATTTTAGCCACACAGGTTAAAAATACAATTGCCATAAAAGTAACTTGTTACCATACAAAACTTAATTATCCCAGATAATTAGATTAGACAAATGCTTTGGCATGCTGCAAGCACTGCATGCGTAGGACTACTCAGCAAGTAAGTACATACCAATAATAACTTATAAGTCATCATTGTTTATTATGAGTAAGATTGGATAAAATAGTGCTATTGACACTGCATTTGTTAATCAGTCTCTGAGTTGAAATGGAAGGGCTGCTCAAGGCACTTCTTGTTCTTTGCTTTATAGCTACATGCAATGGATCATGCTCAGATCTTGATCTTGGGAATACTGGCTGCTGCACTTTATTTGATTGTCAAAGCTCTACAGATCACTGCTACTGTGACCAGTCATGCTATACCTACAATGACTGCTGTCCTGATATTACAGAGATTGGCTGTTATCCTTATCAAACTACAAGTCAGTCAATAATTATTTAAATTTGCTGCGTATTTTCAGCTTTTCTTCTTGTAGAATGTAATGACACTGATATTCGTCTTGTTGGTGGATCTAATGCTAATGAAGGAAGAGTTGAAGTGTGTGTTAATGGAACATGGGGTACTGTCTGTGATGATGACTGGGACAATGATGATGCTGCT